TATTAACGAATTTTTAGAAAAAATAGTAAAAAAATAATAAAATACTCCGCAGGAAGAAAGTGGTGTTGGTGGAAGAATAAAGTATGATACTCGTGAGGAGAGAGAATTTGAAAATCTTAAAGTATGATAGTTGGTGGGTCTATTAGGTGAGTCTATTAGGTGAGAAGATATTAGTAAAATATTGTGAAAGGTTTCCAAAAAAGAAAAACAGAGCAAGTAATAAAATACGGCCGCAAAAGAAAAGTGGAGCAAGTAATAAAATACGGAGAAAGTATTTATTTTGACTCTGTTATATCTATATCAAATATATGTCATGTAAAATGATTTTTGAATTAGTCTTTATGTATATTTTAATTACATCAACTTTTATATTTCTTAAGAGCATCTCCAATGGTAAGCTAATTGTTAAATTAGCTTGCCATGCCACATATGATTTCAAGCTAATTCTGTTTGTAGTTATATTTGAGCCCCAATGATTGGCTACTAGCTTGCTAATTAATAAGTTTGACTTTCTCAATTAGCTTTATAAAATTAATTATTTTAATATATTAATCTCTAAAAATTTTGGAAACTTTTTCTCGAGCAAATTAGCTTGGGCAAGCTAATTTGCTTGGCCAAGCTAATTGTACTTTTTAGCTCCAATGGTCAAGCTAGTAGGTAGAGACTTTTGAAAATTGCAAGCAAGTCCCTAGCTACAACCATTGAAGTTGCTCTAATAATATATACAGAGTATTTGTATATTATGTTGTTGGTCAAAATTAAGCAATGACATATTTATCACACAAATTGTTGCAATTAATCTGAAACGCAGAACAATAAATAACATATTCTAGTCTTCCCTTAAATGTTGTAACAATTGCACCTTTTGGCACTTTATACCCTCTCACCTCTATTTCTATGTAAGGAAAAATATATTTATATAAGGTCCTGTTAAATAGGCCTTGTTATATATCTTTATAGTATCCACATTTTTACAAACTCTTAAATGAATTTGGTTCACATTAATTTATTGTGGACTACTAATATTAGAGACAATATGGTTGTTTTATTAATAAAAAAAAGAGTCACTATATTAAAATAAAGGTTATTATGTTGAAATAAAAGTCATTGTGGCATTATAAAGGCTATAAGAGGTTTTTTTTTTTCTTTTTTTTTAATGAAATTTTTAATATACTAAAATCAATATCATATCATATTATATCATATCACTAATAGATAAAGTCGGTATCACAGTCAGGCCACGAGATAATGACACTTGATATTCCAATTTTTCACCAAGTGTCGCGCCATGTAGGCGACAAATATGTATTATTGTGACCATATGATGCTAAGTAAGCGAAATTTGGATAGATTTTTTAAGATAAAAATGTTGTATATAGTTTTATTATCAATATACCTCTAATATTTCATATATACAAAATTAATTACTTTTAATATATATCAAATAATTCTGTTCTATTTCTATCATAAAATTCATTTTAAAAAATTCTGTAAAATAAGATCCATTTGTAATATATTTAATTTATTTTAAAAAATAATAGAGAATAGTAAAAATAAGTTTTAATCAATAAAAATAATTTTAGTTTCGTAATAATTTAAGTTCAATAAAAATAATTTCAAGTCAATAATAGCATAGATATCTATCACAAACAAAAGTACAAAAAGTACAGTATAAAAAAAGCGAAATGATTATTGTATGTCTAAATATCCTGCATTACCAAAAGGGATTATATGACTTTATTTAACCTTCAAGCAAAATTTTTATAACCAGGCTACGAGATAGTGACACTTGACGTTTTAATTTTTTGCCAAGTGTCACGCCATCAAAGCAACAATTACATATTAGTATGACATGTAGGATTTATTCGGATATATTTTTTATAAATAAAAAAGTTGTATTTTTTTATCAGGATAAAAACTTTGATAGATTTTGTAGGATAAAAAAGTTAGTTTAGAGTTTTATTTTCAATAAAATTTGGATAGATTTATATGATAAAATTGTTGGTTTAGAGTTTTATTTCCGATAAAATACCAATATTTCACAGAACAAAATAAAGTATTAGTTTAGCCAAATCACAAGACGACGACACTTGGCGTTTCAACTTAATTTTCACCAAATGTCGTGCCAACACGTAGACAACAATTAAATAATAAATCATATAAATTTATTTTTATATCATAATTTTTGTTTTTTTGGAGCGGATGGAGTAGTTCAAAATGTATAACATTCATTTATAATATATTCCAATCGATTGAAATAAAATACTTCACAATCTAATGTGATTTCATTGTTGTGTGTAGACCTGTCAATCGGGTCGGGTCACGGGTCATTTTGGGTTGATTCACTTCAAGTCACGGGTCAAGAGATGTTCAACGCTAGCCTAAAGTTTTTGTTTCAAGTCATCCCAACGGGTTTAGAACAATTTTTTTTTGTTTAATTTATTTTTGGCTAATTTTTAGAAATTTCTAACATTTTAAGCTTATTTTGCTTTTTTTTTTTTTATAATTTTTTAAAATGAACATTTTCACCAATATTATTATTAGTCATTACATGCCTGCTACATAATTTAAATCATCACAAAATCACATCAATTTCTAACTAATTTTGTATCAATGATATATTTTAAAGCTTGGTACATAGATAAAAAGTTTATCTTAAAATTCAATAAATAACCCGGGCATCGCACGGGGCACCTCTAGTCTAATATCATATCATATCACTAATATATAAAGCCGGTCTCGCAGCCAGACCACGAGACAGCGACACTTGGCATTTCAGTTTTTCGCCAAGTGTCACGCCACGTAAGCGACAAATAGGTATTATTGTGATACATATGATGTTAAGTAAGCGAAGTTTGGATAGATTTTTAAAGATAAAAAAGTTGTATAGAGTTTTATTATCGATATACTTCTAATAATTTATATATACAAAATTAATCATTACTTTTAATAAATATTTTATAATTCGGTCTTATTTTCATCATAAAATCCGTTTTAAAAAGTTCTTTAAAATAAGATCCATTTATAATATATTTAATTTATTTAAAAAAATAATAGAAAATTAGTAAAAATATGTTTTAATCATGGAAAATAATTTTTGTTTTGGTAAAAATACTTTTATTCCAGTGAAAATAATTTCAGTTCAATAAAATATATTTCAATTCAGTATGCCTAAATATCCTGCATTATCAAAAGGGATTATATGATCGTAATTAACATTCAATCCAAAAAGTTTATCCTAAACATTTATCAAAATGAGATCCATTTATATCAAGTTAATTTATATAAAATTAGAAATATTTAAGTGCAATAATAAAAATATCAAGTTAATAATAACATAGATATCTATTTACAAATAAAATTACAAAAAATTACACTATTATATAAATAGGCGATATGATATCATATGTCTAAATATTTTACATTATCAAAAGGGGTTATATGATCGTGTTTAACATTCAAGCTAAAAAGTTTAGGACAATGCGGGCATCGCCCGGGCACAAAACTAGTAACTAATATATAAAACTAAACTCTTAGTCATGCCACAAGACAACAACACTTGGCGTTTTTAGTTTTCGCCAAGTGTCGCGCCACGTAGGCAACAATTAAATATTAGTATGACACGTAGGATTTATTTGTATATTTTTTATGAATAAAAAAGTTGTATTTTTTATTAGGATAATAACTTGGATAGATTTTGTTGGATAAAAAAGTTAGTTTAGAGTTTTATTTTCAAAAAAATAAAATTTGGATAGATTTATAGGATAAAATTATGGGTTAAGAGTTTTATTTCCAATAAAATACCAATATTTCACAGGTACAAAATAAATTATAAGTTTAGTCAGACCACGAGACACCGGCACTTAACGTTTCAACTTTTCAGCAAATGTCGTGCCACATAGACAACAATTAAATAATTTATCATATAAATTTATTTTATATCATAATTTTTTTTGGATTGAAGGAAGTAGTTCAAAACGTACAACATTCATTTATAATATATTCTAATCGATTGAAATAAAATACTTCACAATCTAATATGATTTTATTACTGTAGACCTGTCAATCGAGTTGGGTCACGGGTCATTTCGAGTCAAGTCACTTCAGGTCACGGGTCAAGAAATGTTCAACACTAGCCCAAAGTTTCAGGTTCGGTCAACCCAATGGCCTGATAACAATTTTTGTGTTTAATTTATATTTTGCTAATTTTTAGAAATTCCTAATATTTCCAGCTTACTTTGTTAATTTTTTTTTATAAATTTTTAAATCGAACATTTTCACCATAATATTAGACATATTAGTCATTACATGCCTATTACATAATTTAAATCGTCACAAAAGCACATCAATTCCTTACTAATTTTGTATCAATAAATATATTTTAAAACTTGGTACATAGATAAAAGTTTTATCTTAAAATTCAATAAGCAACCCGAGTATCGCACGGGGCACCAAACTAGTGAATAATAAAGGTCACTATCTTAAAATCAGGGTTACTATGTTCAACATAATGTCGTACTTCAAATTCACAATAAAATTAAAGGTCACACAAGTTTTAATAAATGTTACTATGTGTCTATGTTAAAAATAATGTTACTATGCTAAAATTAGGGTCACTATGTTCAATATAACAACAATTACGTGCGTTTAAACCTCATGTGCACAATAATATTATTATAGACCAGGCCATGCAAGTTTTTCCAACATTTTAAATTTTTGTACTAACGGATTTGCAGATTGATTGCATTGTGATGCTTAAATCTCCCTCATGTTGCTATATTTCGGGAAATTGGAGGATATATTGGCTTAGAGCCAAACAAATAGGGAAAGAAAGTGTGCTCTTGTACTCTGTCAGTCAATTTAAATTAAAATATTTACGCTTGTTAATGCAGAATTTTATATTCTAAATAAGATTGACAACATCAAATATTAAAAAATAGAAAAATAAACACATTACTGTGTTCAACATTGAAGCAGTCATCAAACAAGCAGAGATAATATGAAAGGAAAAATCGCAATTCCCTGCATAATAAACTGTAAACCTTAGCCAGTCAGAGCGATTTTCAAAATACTTCGTATGATTTATGAACAGCTTACATGTAAAGACTAGGGATGGAAGCTACTGTATTTCATAGCCCCAAATGATGAAAACTTTGCAACCAAAATTCTATACAAACATCAAAAAAATTTACAACATGAAAACCTCTGATTGTGCAGACAAAGCAATCAAGCAAACATACAGTAGCAAAGAATGGCATTACCACAACATCCACGAGATCAAAGTATCAAACTCTAAAAATTAGAAATGTGAGCACGGTGATAGTAAAGCTAGCCGCTGATGCTGCAGTCCTCAGACCAGAGGAAGCGATCTGGATGGTAAAATTGCAATTTCCTGTCGATATATTCTTCATTGTTAGCCTAGCCATACCTTCAAAATCGCAGGCCTCAAGTTTCTGATACTGAGTCTGATAGTACACATTAAAGGCATACGACACGTTCCCATTTAAATCCATACCGTTACATGAGGACCCATACCCAAGAGGTGTACAATCAGCATAAGTGCACGCAAAATTAATGTTATCTCCCAGCTTGCTCAGATCCTTAGCATTCGGGTTAAACTCACACCATTGCTTCTCAAGATATTGGACATTCCTTGCACCAATAAGATAGATTTCCCGGTTTTCATTGGCAAGATACATGGGGAATTTTGGTTGTCCGTCATACCGGAAAATTCCCCAATGCCTCTCAAATGACCCAGGTCCAACACTTTTTGCATCCTCGTCAAGGAGCCCGAACAAGTACATCTCTATATATCCAGGCCTCAATGGAGTACCAGTGTTAGCTACAAGTCTAGGCAAGAGGCCTCTATAGAATTTGATAGCATTGTTAATATTGGCATTAATATCACCATCTGTGGGCCACCCAACCTCTCCAACAATTATTGGCATAGTCCCATACCCTGCTGCTTTTAAGGCCGAAACCAATGTATCAAAGTTGGCATCAAAAACATTAGTGTATTGGATCCCATTATCATCAAGAGGAGTAGCTCCCCCATCAAAGAATGCATAGTTGACTGGAAAATCGGGGTTACCATACAGACTGAGGAAAGGGTAGATATTGACGGTGAAAGGAGCATTGTTTTGGCTCATGAACTGGACTATCTGGGTCATGACATCAGCGATATCAGGTCTGAATCTTCCAGCAGAAGGTACAGGATTGGACTGTGGTGATTCGTAAACATCAGCATTCAAGGGCACAGTTGCTTTTACCGAGTTTCCTACCCCAGCTTCATTGAGAGCATTTTGGATACTTTGAAGGGCAGGCAAAGTAGCATTTTCATATGTGCCATTGTAGGCCTTGAGAAAAGGTTCATTCCCAACCGCCACATATCTGCAACCGGTAAAGGGTTTAAAGTTGCAGAGGTTTTCACATTCTAACAAACCAAAAGGGTAACTAACAATTGCATATGAATTGGCATGAACCAAGTACTTGTCCACTAATCCACCATCTCTAGATTTTTGCAAAGCAAAACCCAGTTGTTTATTTAGAAAATCAAATGAAAATGATGATCAAATAAGATTTCTACTACTTCGTATTTAAGTACAAAAAGTTCTCTGGCCCTCATTTATACAATTTATTTTTCGAAAAAATTGGACAATAAAACATAACAGTGTTCACATCATGAAAGACTACTTTAAGCATACAATAATGGGTATGTGCACATATAATCTAAGACAACCTACATTCATGTGCTTTTACTTTCTTGGTCCTACTGCAGCTACAGTCACAATAGAATTTGACAAAAATTTATATTTCTGCATCATTCATTATTGATTTTCTCTGTTATTTACAGTCTGTCAAGACAAAAATTTGCCCTAGGAAGTGCAATGTAATCATAGGTTTTCTCAGCTCCTTATCACCTTTATGATACTGGAAAAGTTTGAGAAGCCTGAGAACAGCATAAATACAATCACATGCCAAAGTCCCAAAGCTTTACAGTATATATTATCCTATGGAATGTCCTTTCTTATAAAGTGCATGTTTAGAGGATCAACATGTCACTGCCACAGTATAATCAGTCTAGTGGGAATTTAAAAAGAATATGAGGAGGGCTACTTACTAGTAGAATTAAACACTAATAGGCTAACTAAATCCCTTATCTACCCAAATGATATACTGAAATTCATTTCTTTGAAGCATTCTAATTCAGCAGGTCAAGTCATTTAGGTCTTTCTTTAAGATTAGAACCAATAATTCTACTTTCCTGTCTTTCAACGCCCTTCCCCCTTCAAAGATGAGAACCATCATCCATCTGCTCTATCATGGCTGCTGCTTCTACGTGGTTAAATTCCTCTGCCATTTCCAATCAACCCTCCAAATTTAAACATTTTAGCCTACAAGATCAATTACACCACAGCTAACATGCCAAACGTAACCTCCAACAAGATATTCCTATTCCAACTTCCAATGGCATTCCATAATTTCTGCAGTTCAATGGGGTGTACTCCTATTGCTCATCACTAATAGGAAGATGATTTTGCTAGAAAATTGGTCCTCCAACCACTCTCCAAATATATCATATAATTTACTTTCAACTGGGGATGAATTGGTCAGTTCGTAAAAAGAATTATCTCCTAGTTCAATCTCGTGGAACATTGTATTTTGTTACTTCGAACGTAAACAAGATGCCAATTCTGTAAGTAGAAAAACTTTTTAGGCTTGAGTATTACTCAGTTGATAATTGCATAGATTACTATTTTGAGAAAATAATCAATGCACAATCAAGTTCAGTACCTTTTCCTTAACCTTTTTTTATAAAGAAATTAAAAAGTACTCCATAAAAGGCAATTTAACATCAAAATGGAAATACAGGTAGCTCAAAATTAATGTGAAATTTGGAGTAAGCTCAGCACAAGTTTAGTGTAGCGAAGTTATGGTCCAGGAAATGAAGATGCTTTAAAAAAAATGAGCAAATAAGCACAAATCACATGGCAAGTGGATGAAGTATAACATCCCACAAAATGAAGAAAAGGGGAACATAAATTTTGCAATTTTATCATTTTGGATCAAGACAAATTCTTTGTCACAACCCAGATAAACAGGACAAGATCTACAGCATATTTTAAAGGGTTAAAACAAGGGAAATAAAATTTGATTGCACAACTCACTTGATGTTGACTCCTCCTTTGAAATTGTAACGCACAACATTGCTCCGAACCCACTTTTGAGCATGATGATAATCAAGCATGGCAGCCAACTCACCATTAGGGATGGCAACCATAACTTCAATATTAGTACCAGTGAGAGCACTCAAAGTAGATTCATCAGCATCAAACAACTTCACCTTTTGAATACCATTATCCTTTAACAGCTGTACTACAGTACTAAGAGGCAATTTGTGATTAGCTTGAGTTCCCCAATTGACTCCAAGCCCTTCAACCTTACAAGCCCATAATGATACCCTGATTATCAACCAACTTACAAACAACAGCCACTTCCTTTCCATCGAAAACGGATGTTATCTATGCATATAGTACTAGTTTTATGGCGGCACCAAAATAATTTTTTTGAAAAAAGTCAACAGCTAAAGGTTAAAGTTTGCTAACTAAGATGAGCAAGCTTGTGGAACAGAGAAGGATGTCGGGGGCAAAATAAAGGGAACACAGTAACAAGGTGTGACACGACGGACAAAGAAATGAAAACCTCCTATTAAAGAAAAGAGCAATTGAGAAGGTATTGATAATCAAGGGATGATGCAGAGAATGAGACAAAAGTCAAACAGATACCTCCCTGTTGATTATTTTTGAGCAGAAACGAAGCCAATCAATGAAATTCAAAGAAGCTTCTTAAGTAAGAAAAAATAGGAAATGGTAAAAACTTCCAGAATTTGTCAAATAGAGAAGTTGACTGTGATCAAATTATTTCAGAAAAACTGTAAAAGCAGTGAAATGCAGAAAACCAAGAGGGTGATGCAAAAGTGGAGAAGGGAAAAGTTCACTACTCTGAAGAAAATGAAGAGTTTTGTAAGTTGTATGTTGTGTGGACAAGATTGAATGGTATAGAAAGCATCAAAGCAATTATTTAGTATGTAAATTCCCCTTCCTGAAATGGACGAGGACAAACATATATGACTAATAAGAATTAATGTTATAAACTATGAATAGTACGGCATATCAAAAAGAGTATAATGATGAAACTTGCCTAGTCAGCTATCTACCCTAAACCCAAACATCATTATCTTAGGTGGGTTGGTTAGAGTCTTTGGGGTTGAACCGAAGACTTTGGACCGAATATTGTCTACATCATTGCCTCTATGGCTGTCTCTATAATACTATAGAAACAATAAAAATAAATTAATATATAATATTGATTTTTTTTTATCAGGTTACTACCTGTAATAATAACTCAATCAACCCCAAAAAGTTGGCAGCTATATCTTCTTTCCAACATATCCGAAGAAAAACACAATGTAAAGAATAAACACAGAACTGGTCCACTTGATGAGCTAGTCTTTTCAAATATACAACCACTTTTAGAAACAAAAGTCAAGAATAAATTATAGGCAGTTTAGTGAAGTTAATAATAAGCTTTTCAAACGCGGGCAATAATCAAAAGAAATGAAAATTGGTATATACTCATAAGTTTAAGTTGCTCATTACACATTAAAATCCCAAATAAAAGCCGCAAGTGCGCGGTGTCGGAAGCAGTAGAACTAAGCAATGCAGGCTGATCTAAGCAGGGTGAGGAAAGGGTATTGATGTCACGCCACTACCTAGTTGACAAAATTAACAACTAACACAACAGCAAAGAAGCAAAAACAGAACATTCTTACAGAGTAATTAATTAATATATTGAACTACCAACTATCTAGCCTCTAACTTAATAAATTACTGGAATATTAGCACTTATTTGCATGTTATGTCAATAATTAATAGCTATATAATCATGAGCAAGTCAACAAAAAGTAAGATTACAACCACAATTAGAGGTCATAATCAACAAAAATATAACTCATAAAAAGACTGAAAACTGTAGGCATATAATAACACTGTAGGTCCGACTTAAGTTGTCACATTAATAGTTCAAATTACGCTATTAACATGACTATAAATTCCGGACCAAGTGAAAAATTCACAAGAACAGTGATTCAGGGTTGTTCTTTCAAAATAAAAACATTAAACAACAAAAATTACACTACGAAATAATATAATTTTCAATGTTACTCAGTTCGAGAACACAATTACAGGATTTACAGCGAAATTACTGTCACAAAGAGCTAACAAATCACTACTTGTATTCTGAAATAAACATCCACAAAAATTGACTGTAAATTACAATTGATGAAATTTCGTATAAAATTGAAATACTGAAACTAGAAGTAAAAGTTATCTGTAAAATTGAACTCACTTGATATATGATTGCAGCGTTCATTAGTACTTGAACAAGAACAGCAGATAGTGGCTTTTATGGACTGAGAAGTGCGCGAAACGGATCTGCACCTTTTCGTTGGTAATTTCATTCTTTGCGTTTTCTCTCTCCAAAAGTAATACGAAATAGAAATTACCCATACTCATGTGAGAAAAGAAAAAAAAAAAAAAAGTACTCGTAGAAAACTTGGGGGATAAGAGTTGTTGATTACAGGCCTATTAGCCTGTCTAATGCCTTGTGTTTCTTCTGTTATTTTTTACTTGACTCGTTTTGACTTTTACACTATTCACCACTTCTCCTTTGATCGTCTTTTGTGAATAAAATGTTAAGGAAAAACATATTCATGTGAAATCTTTTTGAATTCGCCTCAATAAGTACTATCATAATATATAATTTTTATAATTTTTACTTATGGAGAATTAAAGTTATTGATCGTTAAAGTTTTGCATTGACAAGCGTGATAAAAGAAACAGATCTAGTAAAAAAACAGAGGAAGTATAAAATAGTATCAAAAGTACTAGCGAACAGACTTAAAAAAATTTTACCTTCTATTATTAGTGAGTTATAGAGTGGATTTGTTCTTGGAAAAATGATTACAGACAACATTCTGGTGGCGTATGAATGTTTCCATTTTTTGCGGAAGAAGAAAACTGGGAAAAAGGCTTTCTGGGCTTAAAGCTCGATATGAGTAAAGCTTATGACAAGGTAGAATGGGTTTCTCTGAAGAAAATGATGGTGAAATTTGGTTTTCCGGAGGGTTTTGTGAAAAATATTATGAAATGTGTCTCCTCGGCTTCTTTTGATGTTCTAGTTAATGGACAACCGCCTCGAGCTTTCAAGCCAAGTAGAGGGTTCCGGCAGGGTGATCCCTTATCACCGGTTATGTCCATTATGTGTGCAGAGGGTCTCTCTGCTCTTCTTCGGGATGTAGAAAGGAGAAATGTCATTCATGGAGTAAAAATTAGGAGGTATGTTGAGCCTATTGCTCACCTATTTTTTGTAAATGATAGTCTCCTGTTTGTTCGGGCAAATGAAGAGGAAACTGATCAAGTTCTTGATATTCTTTCGACCTATGAGCTAGCGTCAGGCCAAAAATTGAATATGGAAAAATCGGAGGTGTCTTCAGCCGAAACATTGATCATGAGAAGAAAAATATGTTTCTGATGAAGTTATCTTTTAAGGCTGTCGATGGACATGTAAATATTTAGGCCTTCCAACTTACATTGGAGGGTCTAAAAAACAGGTTTGTCAGAGTATTCAAGATAGAGTTTGGAAAAAACTCAAGGGTTGGAAAGAGGAATACTTATCACAGGCGGGTCAGGAAATTCTCATCAAATATGTTGCCCAAGTGACCCCAATATATGCCATGCAATGTTTCTCTTGAGCATTCTAAATGAGGTGGAAAAAATGTGTAGAATTTTTTTTGGGATTAAAAAGGTGAAGAACGGAAGACTTGTTGGGTGGCTTGGAACAAGTTGTACCGGTCAAAAAATAATGGGGGGTTGGGCTTTCGAAATATGCAGCTTTTTAACAAATCTATGTTGGTAAAACAAGCATGGAGAATATTAACCAATGAGAAATTTTTAATGTCTCGAGTTCTCAAAGGTAAGTATTTTCCCTCCTCGAGTTTTTGGACGCAAAAATTGTCTCAGGAATGAGCTTTACATGGAGATCAATATTGAGTGTGAGGAATGTGATCAAAAAAGCGGCAAGGATGATAATTGGCGGGGGGAGCAGTATTAATATTTAGGAGGATCCATGGGTGCCAAACCTTCCAAATTTCCGTGTGATTTCGCCAATGGGAACAAGGAAAAATGTACCAATGTTCATGAAGGAGTTATGGGACAACAAGAGCTGGAATTTGAGTATTCTTTCTGATTTTTTTACTGAGAGAGAAGTAGACGATATATGTAGCATTCCATCCCCTTCTTTGATGATGTTGATGATTGGTGTTGGCACTTTTTGAATGATGGTCAATATAAGGTAAAAAGCGCCTATAATCTGCTAATTGAAAATGAAGAATTGAGCAGGGCATCAACCTCTTTTGAGATTTTACCTTTTAAATGGAAGAACCTATGTCATGCCAAGATCCCTCCCAAAATTAAACTTTTTGCGTGGAGGTGTATCAAGGAAGCGGCTGCCAATTAGAATGCGTTTAGTGGCCAGGAGAATGGATGTGGAACACTTGTGTTCGATGTGTGGGGAAGAAGAGGAAACTACTATCCATATGCTACTTCGTTGCTCAATTGTGAGGTCTATCTGGGAACGTTCGGTCTTGAGGTTAGACACAAAGATTGATGATGCTGCTTGCTTTCGGGTTTAGTGTGCTCTGATGAATGAAAAAATAAAAGAACTCAGGTGGTGGGAAACTTTTGGAGCTTGGCGTGGGGGGTGTGGCTGAGGCAAAATGCATGGGTTTTCAAGAAAAAACAGAAGCTTGAGAGTGATATAATACATAAAGGCATAGGGATGTTTGGAGAGTTTGCAATGGCAATGGAAAGAAGCAAGGTGGAGTAACCTGTGCAACAGCTGGGTTCGGTGTGGAAAGCTCCTGTTTCGGGTATGCTTAAGCTAATTAAATACTTATGCTTCCTTAATTCTAGGCTCATCAGTCTCTCAGAGTGGGGGGTATTTTAAAAGATGCTGAAGGTGCAGTCCTTGTTGCCTACTGCTCGACCTTCAAGGGAAGTTTTGATGTGGATGTTAGTGAAGCTAGCAATGAGGCAAAGCCTTTTGATTGCTTTAGAGGCAGGTTTTAGAAACTTTGTGCTTGAAACTGATAACATTAAGTTGTTTCATCATATGTAGAAAGGCATTACACCTCCGAATGTGTCTGGGAGTGTCGTAAAGGATATCCTTCGTTTGTCTAGGGAGTGCCTTGCTTACTCCTTCTCCTTTGTTAAAAGGTTGGGGAATGGCGCTGCCCATAGTTTAGCTTCGTTAAGTAGTAATTTCAATGAGTTTCATGTTTGGTTAGAGGAGTATCCCGATTTGTGACGATCTTGAACACTTGTTGAATTAATAAATGCTAAGCTTTGTTTTGTTTTAAAAGAAAACTTAGGGGTAAAAGCTTATATCCAATATAAAACTTTCATTTCTTGTAAAAATAAATAAATAAATAAAAATAGAAGGCAAAATTGTCGAAAAATAGCTTGAATTTAAGACAATTTGCAAACTAGTACCTTACTTTAAAATTTTTGACAAATAATACATTGAATTAAATTTTGTTTTATGCATCGTAAATGACACCATAACGACGCATTCCTACTAACAAGTCAAGTTTTTGGTGTTTGACTTTCATCTTTTCACTGAATTTGGTCATAATGGATCTTGTGAAACTTACCCAATGTATAAAGACAAAGTTTCATGTGGCTGGCCATACCGTATGGTCAGGGTTACTTGTTCAAGGGTTACTTAGTCGGTCAGGGGTTATTCGGTCAGGGATTACTTGGTCAAGGGTTACTCAATCAGTCAAGGGTTACTTGATTGGTCACGGGTTACTCGATCGGTCAGGGTTACTCAATCAGAGCTTACTTGATTAGGGGTTATACGGTCGGTCAGGGATTACTCGGTCAGGGGTTACCCGATCGATCAAGGATTACTTAATCAGGGGTTACTATATTGGTCAGGGGTTACCCATTCAGTGTTTTGGTGTGTCTCAACCAGCCACAAAAAAAAGCGCTGATGTATAAATAGGAAATTCAAATAATTTCTTCCCTAATTATACCCTCTCCTCATTCAATGGAGTGCATCACACATGCACAAAGATGGAGGGAAAATGAAAGTCAAACACGTGTAATATCGATCTATTTCTAGAAAAGAATTATAAAAATATATTAATAATCCTATTTATTCATTCCAGTTTCGTATCTTCTTTATTTTAGCTAATAAATTAATAGATCCAATTGGTTATAAGAATGACCTCATTTTTTAGTTGCAATAACCCCTCGTTTTTCAAGATAA